TGACCAAAGTCGACCCCAAGTAAAATGATTTTGCTTAAGAACGTTTGACTTATATTGCAACCCAGTAAAAACTGGTATTCACTAAAGGATAGACATGGTTGGTATCCTTTGCAGTGACATGCCACGTGGTTGTGGACTTGTGAGAAGTCGGGGAACGGGGTATCCCTCACAGCAGCATTACAACATATTGTTGCTAAGGACGCTTTTACAGTCAAACACGCTTTCACAGACTAGTTATCAAGACTCTGAATCAACGATAATGGTAAGTGTATCTCTTGTTAACAAACTGTGTTAGCTTACATGCACTCGTGTACTCTGCTAAATGCCAAACCTACAGCACTAACTACTTTCAACGACTGACGCTGGTTTGCTAACTTAACACAGACTCCCGTGAGCAGGTGTCAACTACTTACAGCGCCATATAAACGACTCGTTCACGACATTAACATTATAAACGAACTGAGCAGAACGACCTAACTTTCCCAACGGATGGAAACAGATCAATCATGACCGACTTATGCCACTTAAGGCTTACAACCAATAACATCGTGGCAAAACTGACTAATCGTTTTATACGAACTGGACTTACAACATTCGACTGACAACAATTGTTCTGTTGACTCCCGGTCAGGTTGTTGGAACATCAGTCAACACCACCGACAACAGACCTTCACAAGACTACACCCACCCGAACGATCAGACTACACCATCACCTGTTACCCCCGGGATCAAACCATTCACTGTAGTTTACGTTTACATAGTTGAACACTCAAAATAATTGTCTGACGTGATCCTTTTTACTTAAACACACCTCGTTTTGTTTTGCAGATAGAAATGAAATGTGCAAAATTGGAAATGGAAAATAAAATGTTAAAAAGAAAAATGAAAGAAAAAGAAAGGAAGAAAAGTAGAGCAAGAGAAAAGATGGCGGGAGAATGATAGAGAAAAGTTTGTAGAACAGAAGAAACGAGAATTGGAAAAGAGAAAAGGACAAAAAGTCAAGGAAGACAAGAAATTGAAAAGTAGAGGAAAGGACAGACAAAAGAGACGAGGAAAGAATGAGGAAAGAATTAGAAGAGGCGGAGAAAGAAAGAAAACGCGAAAAAGATGGAAAGACGATCGAATAGAATGGAAGAAGAAGAGAAAAGGCGAAGGGAGAAAGAGAAATGAGAGAGCGGGAGCGTGACTTGAGAGAGGACAGAGAACGAGAGTTAAGAGTAATAAAAAAAATTATTGCGCAGTTTGATGAACCGTTGTTTATTCCTCTTTTATTAATAAACAATTATCATAAATTTCTTTGTTTTGTAAGTATTAAGATTATAGTTATTTTAAATGTAAATGGAGTCCACTGTTTACTATGTATTGAATAACTAACTTCAGCTAAGCTGCATACAAGTTTTTCTCGAGACTTATTTTTATCCCGAAATTTTCTTGATTTCAAACAAAATTTACATTATCTGATTGACATTCGAAAAATGACCTGACTCCACGACCTCGAAAATTGACTTTTGTTTTATATGGTAGAAAAATTCTCACCATGTTGTGAGAATGCTTGCACTACCCGTTCATTTATCCTTTTATCCACAAGTTTCGTTTCATCAATTAACAAAAATCAATTAAACTACATATCAATTTTATTGTAATTCCTGTACCAGTTTACTTAACTACTTAGCCCTCACTTTCAAGTAATACCTATGATCTTTGAAACAAATCTTCTAACTCTTGTATCATATCTTCGGTTGGTTTTCGAGAACCTACTATAGCCGTACTAGCAACCTCGTTCCCCCGCCTTTTTCCCTTAGTTGAAAAGGGAAAAGTCCCTGGGAACGAGGTTGCCGTACTAGTGAAGGCTCTAGTCTTGTGCGGTTTTCAACATGGAATGAATTTGGACCACGTATAATGACGTATACCATTTCCCTTTGTTATGTTTTTACGTTATCCATGATACAGTGTACCACTGTTTGATACTTTTATCGTTCACGTAAACGGTTTTGTTTTGCGCATCCAAGGCCATTTGTACGCTCCATTCTGTTCTTCTTTGTAATATTGTTTCATGGAACCCTCCGTTTTCAAAAGCGCCGAAGGCAATAAGTGTTTGAGCATCTCGAACGATCCATTGATTTCTTTGTAAGTAACTTGATTTCTTTGTCAAAAAATTGATAATTCGTTTTAATAAAACAACGTATGCTCACATTAGTAATAACACTCTACTGAAGGACCCTTAACTGGAAAATTCTGCAAATTCTATATATTACTGCTCAAAGGAACACCCGGTCTGCAAATATCATCTAGATGTGACAAAATATTTATTAAGTTCTTGCCAGTACTTTCTGTCCTTGAAGTTAAAACAATAGATGTAACATCCAAATTATGTCACTTTCCTTCTCAGAATTTCTCTCGTTTCTTCGCGGAAAAGAGCAACTTATTTGTTATGAAACTGGGCACAGCTTTTGCAAATAGCTTCACTTTGGTGTTAGAATGGCGGAAATCAGACAAAAAAAAGTTATATCTTTTCCGTTTAGCTCCTTCCGTAAACTTCATGCTTCGCCTTTCTATCTATCGTATGTATTTTACCATCTGCAGATGTCCACGTCATATTGGGAATTTCTCTGGAAAAGATCAGGGTCTCTCAAATGGCCAAATATTTGGGGTCTTCTGCTCACTCCCGAACTTCGAGATGGGGGGCCAGGAACCCCTTTCCGTCTGACCTCTTACCTTTGCTAGACCTTTCCAGCAAGATTGCAGTCGAGTCGCTCGAAAGTCACCACCGTCGATGTCATGTCACCCCAAACTAGAGTTATGTCCCCTGTTCTTTTTAAAACCTGTAAAAATATAATAATGGCAAACTGTTAAATCTCGGGCGACCTAACTCGGGATTTCGGGCGACATGCTTAAAATCACGGGTTTCATATCTCTGGTTTTGGTGACATAACTTCGGGTGAGATGGCTTTCGGGCTACTTGACTAGTTACCCCCCAACATGGTCAGATCTGCCAGGTACAAGACCACCCTTGGGCCTTGGCTTAGTTCCCTGGGTGCGGTCCTGTCTTCATGCACGCTACTACACGGTATGGCGTAAACATCACTATGATGAGACTAGAGCTTGGAACTTCGGATTGCGAATTGCACCTGTTTATAACACTCGGCTGAACTAGTCACGAAATTCACGACAATAAAAAAAAGTTAATATGAATGAATGAATTCCTTATTTATATTGCGCCTTTTCTATACAATATTCAAAGGCGCAGTACCCCCCATCAATTTGATAGACACTACACAAAAATAGACCACAACATCGGGCACTACGAGCCCTACTCTTTTCGAACACAAATTTTTTTATCACATACAAGGGCTTGTGAGACGGAACCTCCATTTATCGTCCCTATCCGAGAAGACTTGAAAGTCTAACCATTGGCAGATATTATTACAAAGGCAGCACTTTCTTCTCGGATATTTAAAGACCTTTAGTGTTGGTCCGGCCGGATTTGAACTCACGACCTCCCGCACAACAGAAAATAGTGATTAACTAATTGAGGCTGGTTTTCATTAGCGACGGAGTCGGAGTCGTAGTCGGTGTCGTAAGAGCGCTTATGACCTAGTGAAAATCGAAAAACGGAGTCGTAAGCGGAGTCATAAGCTCGACGGAATCGGAGTCGGAAGAATCAGGACGTTTCCATTTTCTTTCGATTCCGCTTATGACTCCTTCGGTTAAAATCTAGTGAAAACTGCATTGTCGGAGTCGGAAGCGAAAGCGGAAGAATAAACCAATCACAATGCTCGATTCCAGGCCCGCGAAAGTACAAATTTTGGCGCCAAAGACAACATGGCGGACGAAGAGCAACTTGTGCTTTGGCTCTTATTAATCATTATTTTGCGCAGGCAGAGACAATACAGGAATGATATCGTTCGAAAAAGAAAGCGATTTTGGGTTCGTGATGTCTATCGACGTCGAGCAGCTTTGAGAGAGTATGCTAACCTCCTCAGCGAACTACGACTTGGTGATCATGAATTCTACTTTCGGTAGGTTTCGAGTATTTTAACTTTTAATTTCGTAATTTTATAGACAAGCTCACACGTTTAAATCTGTTACAGCTATTTGTGCATTTTGGAAAGATGGAATCGAGAATTATGATTGGTTTATTTTTCAGCTCCCGCCTCCGACTCCGTCGGTTTGATTTTCACTAGATCGTATCGCTCCAGCTCCACGCTTCTGATTACGACTCCGTCGCAAGTGAAAACCAGCATTAACAAAATTATTCTGCGGTTGTCAAATTTTCGTGATCATCTTGCTTTGAATATTGAAATGGTAAAATTCTTGGTTATTTATTTATTTTTTTTTTTTGCGGTCTTTAGTTTCACTCTTTAACACAACGGTACCTACGTTATGTAAAGAAACCCTTCTTTTCCCACCTGCGCAAGCTGTTTAAGGTAGCCTGTTTTCAATGCTCTGTGCGGGGTTGGAGGTGAAACATTATTTGATGTATGCGCCTCTTTTCGCTCGTGGCCAATCATTATCCTGCGTCTCTGTCAGGGTATGGTACCTATTGCTATACTAAATTTCTCTGAGATACAATGAAATATATGAAGTTCATATATTTTGTACTGCGGTATTAGATACATATGATGCACGATCCTCGCAGTAGATAGCGCTATTTAAGCAATAGCGAAAATCAGACCTGAAAAAAATCAGGCCTGTACGGGATTCGAACCACTGACCTCTGCGATACTAGTGCAGCGCTCTACCAATTGAGCTAACAAGCCAACTGGGAGCAGGCCGTTAAGTTGATTCGTAATAAACCCGTGAAAGTGATAAATGAGATACAATGAAATATATGAAGTTCATATATTTTGTACTGCGGTATTAGATACATATGATGCACGATCCTCGCAGTAGATAGCGCTATTTAAGCAATAGCGAAAATCAGACCTGAAAAAAATCAGGCCTGTACGGGACTCGAACCACTGACCTCTGCGATACTAGTGCAGCGCTCTACCAATTGAGCTAACAAGCCAACTGGGAGCAGGCCGTTAAGTTGATTCGTAATAAACCCGTGAAAGTGATAAATGAGATACAATGAAATATATGAAGTTCATATATTTTGTACTGCGGTATTAGATACATATGATGCACGATCCTCGCAGTAGATAGCGCTATTTAAGCAATAGCGAAAATCAGACCTGAAAAAAATCAGGCCTGTACGGGA